ACTGGGATAACTGGGACTGGGATAACAGAACTGGGATAACTGGGACTGGGATAACAGGACTGGGATAACTGGGACTGGGGGAACTGGGAGGGACTGGGATAACTGGGACTGGGATAACAGGACTGGGATAACTGGGACTGGGATAACAGGACTGGGATAACTGGAGGGGGAACCGGGATAACGCGGGCGGGTTACCGGGGACACCAAGCGCGGAACCGGCGCTGTCACCGGGGCTTTAACGGGGGCGTTAAACGCGGAAAATTCCCCGGGGAGCTCAAGGGGCGGGCACCGAGCGGAGCCCCGAGCCCCGGGGAACGGGGGGAACGGGGGCACCGGGAGCGGGGAAGGCGGCGGGGCCGTTCCGGGGCCCGGGGGAGCCGCGCTGTCCCCTCCCGGTGTCCCGGGGGTGTCCCGGGGGTGTCCCGGGGCTCTCCCGGTGCCCACCTCGATCCGCAGGGGGAAGCCGCCCCCGGGCCGCAGCCCCGGCACGTGAGAGCTCAGCAGGTTGTGGGTCAGGAGCTTCATGGCGACGCTTCCGCTTCCGGTGCGTCACTTCCGGGAAGGAGCGGTTACCGTGGCAACGGGGCGGGGCCCCGCTTAAAGGGGCCGTAGCACAAAAGGAATTTCCCACCTTTCCCCCGGAGGTCAGAGCCCCCTCCCCAAACTCCCCAGGGACCCCCCAAAGGACCGAGACCCTTCCCCAGCGCCCCCTCCTCACAGCGCTGCCCCCCGGGGTGACCCCGCCCCTTCGCTTTTGGGGGTCCCCCCTCACCCGGAGGATCCCAGCCCCCATTTCGGGCTCGTTTTTCCCCATTTTTTGGGTTTTTACCCCCTCAACAGCCTCCTGCTGACCCCCCGAACCCCCAAATCCCACCCCAGGACCCTCCTTCAGGCCCCCAAATACGACCCCCCCTCATTTTGGGGTGTCCTTTCCCCTCTTTTGACTCCCCCACCCCCCAATATTCCCCCAAATTCCCAATTCCCTTCTCCCCAGCATTTTGGGGCGTTCCCAGGGGTCTGTGACACCCCCAAATCCCGAGTGGGGGTGACACCAGACCCCCCCCTAAAACAGAAACAAAGGCAGGGACACAAATGCAATTCATTTATTCCGTATTTGGGGGGCACCCCAAGAACAAAAACCCCCAAAACAGAGCAGGGGTGGAAAAAAAACCCCCCCAAACTTCAGAGCGGGGAGTGGAGCCGGGATGAAAACCCAACAAAACGAGTGAGGGGAGCCGAGCGTGAGACCCCCCACCCAAAACGGGGGTCCCGAAGCTGCCGGGGGAGGGGCTGGGGGGGTTTTTTGGGGGGGGGTGGGGGGGTCACTGACGGACGTAGGGGAAGCTGAGCAGGACCCCCTCGTACCCCCCCACCTTGAGGGTCTCCAGCTGCAGCTCGGGGTTGCCGGCGGCGACGGGGCCGGTGCTGTAGCGCAGCGTGGCCGTGCTGGGCAGGGAGGGGCCCTCGGGTTCTCTTTTGATGGAGAAAGGTTTGAGTTGGGTTCCGTGAGGGTTCAGCACCAGCAGGAACCGCTCGCTCTGGTCCCAGCGCCGCAGAACCGCGATGGCGGCGCCGGCGCTCACGGCCTGCGCCTCCCCCAGCAGCAGCGAGCGCTCGCGGGGCCGCAGCGACGACAGCGCCTGGCACAGCTCCAGAGCGGCGGGGGGCTGCAATTGAGGAGGGGTCGGGGGTCGGGGGGGGTCGGGGGACCCCCAAAACGCGGCCCCACTGAGGGGGGAGCGCGGAGGACCCAGTGGGTGACGTTGCCCTTTTAAGCGTGTGTTGCCCTTTTAAGCGTGTGTTGCTCTTTTAAGCGTGTGTTGCCCTTTTAAGAAGACACCATGTGGGGCCCACCCTGTAAGGAAGCTTCCGAATTCCCCCCAGACCCCCAAAATCGTCCCCAAATCCCTCCCAGACCCCCAAAATCATCCTCAAATCCACCCCAGACCCCCAAAATTATCCCCAAATCCCTCCCCCACCCCCAAAATTATCTCTAAATCCCCCTCAGACCTTCAAAATGATCCTCAAATTCCCCCCAGACCCCCAAAATCGTCCCCAAATCCCTCCCAGACCCTCAAAATCGTCCCCGAATTCTCCCTCAGACACTCAAAATTTCACCCCAGACCCCCAAAATTGTCTCAAATTTCTCTCCCAGACCCTCAAAATCCCCCCCAGACCCCCCAAATTCCCCCTCAAAAGCCCCGCCCCCGAGATCGCCATAAAAGGCAACAAGCCCCGCCCCATTAAGCCCCGCCCACCCCGAATGTCAATCACAGCCTCAAGCCCCGCCCACCTCGGTGTCGTTCTCGCCTTTTTTGATTCCCTCGGCGATTTCCCACGGCATCGGCACCAGCTGCGGCAAAACCCGGGGAAATTGGGTCAGGGGCTCACCCCAAAACCCCCCCGCGGCCCAAAACCCCTCCCCAGCACCCCAAAAACCCTAAAACCCCTCCTCAAAACCACCCCAGCCCCCCCAAATCATCCCAGCTCCCAA